GACAGGGAAGATTATTGGGCATGGTACTGAAGAAGGCGGACTGTATTATGTTACTCGGATGCCTCAACATGGTAAAGCAGCGCTTGTTCGCGGGACGGTTGAACAACAGCTTTGGACTTGGCATAGGCGTTTAGGTCATCCGTCTCTTGGGTATTTAAAAAAACTCTTCCCTTCCCTTTCGAGTTCGAATTTTGTTTTTGATTGTGAGGCTTGTATTGTTGCAAAGAGTCATAAACATTTTTATCCAAGTAGTACGAGTCGAACTGATAAACCGTTTATTTTAATCCATTCTGATGTATGGGGTCCAGCTCCAGAGTTTAATAAACATGGTTTTCTATATTATGTTACCTTTATCGATGATTGCACTAGGATGAGTTGGGTTTATTTTCTTAGAAATAAGTCTGATGTCTTTAACACCTTTGTCTCCTTCTACAAAATGGCCCAAACACAATTTCAAACCCAAATTGGAATTCTCAGGTCTGATAATGGAACCGAGTATAAAAACATTGATATGGAAACCTTCATCCAAACAAATGGCCTTATTCACCAAACCACATGTCCTGACACTCCACAACAAAATGGAGTAGCAGAAAGAAAAAACCGAACTCTCCTGGAAATGACTCGGGCCATGATGATAAAATCTTTTGTTCTTGCTTATTACTGGCCTGAGGCCATTTCCACAGCCAATTACCTCACCAACCGCCTACCTACAAAAAGCCTACATTTTTCTACTCCATTAGACACCCTTAAAAACCATGTCAGTGTTCCTACTGCCCACTCATTACCACCTAGAGTCTTCGGTTGTGTTGTGTATGTACATCTACCCAAACGGAATAGAAATAAGCTAGAACCACGGGCTGTCAAGTGTGTCTTTGTGGGGTATGGAACTAACCAAAAAGGATACCGCTGTTACGACCCAGTTGCAAACCGATTGTATACTACTATGGATTGTGACTTTGTCGAAACAGAATTTTATTATCACCACCTTCGATCTCAAGGGGAGAGCCCTAGTGAGGATCTAAGCTGGTTGGTCTATCCAGAACTGAATGTTCCTGACCCAAAAGAACAGGTAGGCAATACCGCCGAGGCAACTGATAACACTATACAACTCGATCTTCCTAATATCATGCCTACTAATCCAAACATGTCTGAGTCTCCAGTTCAAAATGAAATAGAGGTATGTACACCAGAATCGAGCCATATTTCTGAGTCTAGGTCACCTGAATCTACTAATGTACCTTCTGAAAGTGAAAATGTAGTACCAGGTGCAAGGGAAGATCAGTCGTTGAGTCCTGTACATGGCAGGTATGAGTTGCCACCAAGGAGCACAAGAGGTGTTCCTCCCAAGAGGTATGATCCAGAATTTGAAGCCCAAAGATCAAAATATCCTGTGAGCAAGCCAGGAGAGGGAAATCTATCCCAAGGAGTAAAGAGCTATAGTGCAGCCTTATACTTTGAAAGCACTCCCGCCACAACAGAAGAAGCTCTTAGAAGTAAAAACTGGAAATCAGCTATGGAGGAAGAAATAAATGCACTGGTCCGAAATAAGACTTGGGAAAAGTGTACCCTACCTACTGGGAAAAAACCCGTAGGCTGCAAATGGGTCTTTACAATAAAACGTAAAGCAGATGGCAGCATTGAAAGATATAAAGCAAGGCTGGTAGCTAAAGGGTACACACAAACTTATGGGATAGATTATGATGAAACTTTCTCTCCAGTAGCGAACTTCAACACTATCAGAGTGGTTTTTTCAGTTGCAGCGAACAAAGATTGGCCCCTGTATCAGTTCGATGTAAAAAACGCATTCCTTCATGGAGATCTTTCTGAAGAAGTCTATATGGAAGCTCCACCAGGGTTCTCACATGGCTTTGGTAAAGGTGAAGGTTGTAGACTGAAGAAAGCCTTGTATGGACTGAAACAATCACCAAGGGCGTGGTTTGGAAGATTCACTGTGGCAATGAAGAAGGTCGGATACAAACAAAGCAATGCAGATCCAACCTTGTTTCTCAAAAGAAGAGGTACTGCAATTACCTGTCTTATCATATATGTTGATGATATGATAATAACAGGAGATGATACAGAAGAAATAGAGCAATTGAAGGAGAAACTTTTCAAGGAATTCGAAATGAAGGATCTTGGAAATCTTAAGTATTTCCTGGGAATAGAGGTACTCAGGTCAAAAAGGGGTATCTTTATATCTCAAAGGAAGTATATCCTGGATTTCTTGACAGAGACAGGTATGATAGACTGTAAACCAGCCGACACTCCTATGGTTATGAACCATGGGCTCCAGATTATTGAAGGAGCTAAATCAGTAAATCAGACGCAGTACCAGAGACTCGTTGGAAAGCTAATATATTTGTCTCATACTCGGCCTGATTTAGCTTATACAGTTGGAGTTGTTAGCAGATTCATGCATAAACCACAGAAGCAGCATCTTGAGGCAGTTTACCGAATTCTGAGGTATTTAAAAGGGACTCCTGGAAAGGGAGTTATTTATGAGAACCATGGCCATTTAGATCTTCACGCCTTTACAGATGCAGATTGGGGAGCAGATCGTGACAGTCGAAAATCGACTTCTGGTTATTTGACTTTTGTGGGTGGAAATTTGGTTTCGTGGAAGAGTAAGCTACAAAAGGTAGTTGCTATGTCGAGTGCTGAAGCAGAATTTAGGGGAATTGCAAAAGGAATTACTGAAGTGCTATGGATCAGAAAACTCCTAAAGGAGCTTGGGTATGCACCAAAGAAAAGTTGTAAGTTGTACTGCGACAATATGGCTGCCATACGCATATCTGAAAACCCGGTCCAGCATGATCGAACAAAGCACGTGGAAATTGACAGACACTTCATCAAAGACCATCTAGATGGAAAAGTGATAACTCTACCTTTTGTTCGATCAGAAGATCAACTAGCAGATATCTTAACTAAAGCTGTTTCTACACAGGCGTTTGGGAAAGCATTGAGCAAGTTGGGTGTTAGAGATCCTACCATCCAACTTGAGGGGGAGTGTTAGAAATCCAGAATATTCTATACTATTCTGTAATGTTCTGTAAATCTCTCCTCTTTCTATACTTAGGATAATTAAATCAAATCACTCTGATTTTTAGAGTGATTACAGGATGTGATTAAGGAGTGATTACAGACCGCAATTGTAGCCCAATTAGGCAAGTAGAACTTGTATAAATGCTGTAACCCGAGCATTTTTGAATACATAGAAAACCATTGAAAACCTTAAAACAGTGTAGTTTATTTTTAAGTGTTGACTATGCTAGTTATACTCGTAGCATATTCACAAGTGTATCGGCTCATTGATATCCATACTTATGAACACATTGTTTTAAAATCTACTATCAGACTAGCTTATTAGATTTTGCTATATATATCCGTAACATCATACCAAGGCTTAAATTATCAATGGATGAATTGGAGAATTCAAACATGACTGTTCTTATGACGCTTATTATTGAAACAAGCAATTTCGAGCTCAAAACTCGGCTCGAACTCTATAATTAACGTCAAACCAATTTTGAGAAATATTTTCAAGTTCGAAGAGATGCAAGTTGGAGTTTACATACAGTGAGATTAAATCAAACCAATTCAAGTCGAGCCATACATTTATTATATTTTCGTCGTAACTCATAAGTAGAACGAATACGGCGTAAGTACTTCATATCCGTTGACTTTTGCCTTTTGAGCATATTTACAAAGCTAAAATTACTAATAAAGCTAAAATGTGATAGTAACATGGACCACGATGCCTAATTTAGTGGGTTGATGCATGCTTGGGGTTGACTAGTTCTTACTAATTAAAACGACATCTTAATCATTTAGTTCTCCCCAAAATAAACTCACCATATTGGCTTGGTCATAATAATAATAATTAAGCTCATACCTAGCCAAAAACTATAGGGAACAATAATATTAACCCGATTATCTTTTCATTTTTAATAGAATTTTATGTCAAAAACAACCTAATAAAACTCAGATTTTGTGAGAAACTACATAATAAAAAAATATTGTAAGAACTACCTAAAAAAAGATAATATGTTGTAAGAAATTACCTAACAAAATATAAAATGGTCTATAAAATACTACTTTTCCCGGAAATCCACCCTTGACCCACATCAAAACACCTCCAAAACCACTGCTTTCACCCCAAAACCAACACAACCTACTTGAAATTGCCTCCACCACCACCTCTAAGGCTCTAACCCCAACCAACATCCCAAATCATGAAACTACCTCACTAACTCAGAATATCCTCTAACCACTCCCGAAAATAACCTTACCACCTTGAAACTCAACCCTTGTGGTAGATTCGGGGGTGTTTTGAGGTGGGTCTACACCATAAAATTAGATTAACGTTGGAAATTAAGTCAAAAGGTAGTATCTTACAACATTTTGCTTTTTATTAGGTAATTTCTTACAATATTTTATTAGGTAATTTCTCACAAAATTTAGGTTTTATTAGGTAGTGTCTCATAAAAAGCTCTTTTTAATACTTGTAAAATTAATATCAAATATTTATCATTGAGATATAATTGAATAAGATATCACATCACTACCGTTCAAAAAAAAAAAAAAAAATATATCACATCACTATATTTATCTAGTCATCTAGTATATAAATCACCAGCAAACACGGTAATTAAAAAAACCAAGAAAGTATATACGTAGTATACAATACAACAAATTCAAGTGTAGGATGACAAAGTCAACAGCTTTAGACATAATGTAAACAGAAAGAATACTTGACGCCATTGCACACGGAGACTTCTTGGAAACCAGCAACACCAATATAGGCAATATTATTTATTAAAACTACCCAAAAAATTAAAAATTACGTGTACGTTTATATACTTAATTTACCAAATTTTTTTACAGCATTTTGAGACTATACTTTATAATCCTAACTTGTACATTTAAAAGGTGATATCACCTTAAAAAAATTTCATATCTATTTGTCAAAAAGGAAAAAAATATTAATCAGAAAGAATTTTTTAATTTCTTTCTTTAAAATTCCTTTCTTCCATAAAATTATTTAACCTTTTTAATGCAATTTCTAGTGTATGTTCACTCATATTTGCAAAACAGACCCTGAACCACCCAGGTTCAGAACAATGACAGGATGAACCAGGTGAAATGTTTAGCTTCACCTCATCAACAATTGATCTCCATAACTCTAACTCACACTCTCGTGTCGGGTTTTCGAGGAATGGACTTAAATTCATCCAACAAAACAACCCTGCATTTCCTTCCAAACATTCAATCCCGGCTTTCCTTAGCCCCTTGATGATCAAGTCGTAACGTTTCCTTAGCCTTTCTCTGTTAGTCCTGATGTAATTCGCGGTAAATTTTTCATCTGACAGCATTGCAGCTAACAGATACTGAGTCTGAGATGATACTAATGTAAAACTAGACATTCTTCTTGCAGTAGTAACAACCTTATCATTGTAAGAATACAATGTTCCTACTCTGAAACCGGGTAGTCCAAGATCCTTTGACAGACTGTAGACAATGTGTACTCTCTCTGCATCTCTGAAGTTTCGAGCTTCGAGTACTTCTGCAATACTGGTAAAGTCTTCAGGGGAGAAAACAGAACCTGAGTAGATCTCATCTGATACAAGATGGATGTTTTTACGCGAAACAAAGTCCAATATCTCTTCCAACACTTTTCTGTTAATAGTAGCACCTAAGGGATTCGACGGGTTTGTGATCAGAACTCCTCTTACTTTCATTTTCAGAGCTTCTGCTCTGCTGTATGCATCCTCTAATGCTTCAGGAGTCACCTGAAAGCCGTTTGAGCTGTCGCAATGAATTGGGACAATATTTACTCCAGTTCTCCACCTCAAATCTCTATCAAATCTGAAGAAATAACAGAAAAGTATGATTAGTTTACAAGAACAATTGCACAAATAAATACTGCACTCGATTATATAATTCGTGTTTTAAAGTAGGGTTCGATTTCTTACCCTGGATAATAAGGAGTTGGGACTAATAGAGCATCTCCAGGGTCGGCGATAATGAAGGTTAAGAGTTCGTTTGCAGCAGTAGCTCCTGCAGTTAGGACTATTCTGTTGTAATCAAACTTTACTTTTCCTCCTCTAATTTGTTCCATGAAACTAGCCATTGCCTTTCGAAACGATGATAGTCCATGGTAGTCTTGAAATAATGCATTTTCTCGAAATCCAGCACTTTTTGCATTCCCCCAGCTACTCGATTCTGAGTGTTGTTCTAAGTACTCTTCCAGAATATCGAAAGAAACCTGTTCAAGAAAAAATAACAAGCACAATGAGCAACCAACTTCGACAAAAAATTTTCCTTTAAAAAAAAATACTGTATTGTTGTACACTTTCATTTTATTTCAGTTCTTGGGTTTTTGTTGAAACTACTTACTTGATTTTCAGCTAGTCCCATCTGAATAACACCGGTGGGATTCGTTATTTCCTGATAAGGGTCATCATCATACGCTTTCCATCCAGCGAAATAAGGAGAGTCTTCACCATGTGTATCAGAAACTGCAATTTTCGACAGCTCGACGGAAGCTGCTGGTTGCTCAAGCTCAAGAATAGCCATGGCTTAACTTCAATACACTGAAGGTGTAAGTCTATAAAGATGAAAAATGTGTCGTAGGAGAGAAACTTGTTATACTACCACGAGATAGGTAGAGAGAGTTCGATAAACTGTTTGATGGAGATTAGAGAGTAAGAGCATTGGTATATATAGGTAGGGTTTAACAGAAGACAAGTTCTCTACAACTAACAAGTTAAAGGCAATAATAAAATATATGCAAGAAAAAAGAGTGAAGAGACCAATGATTGATTAGTAATGTAAGCAAGATCAAATCTTAACTTTTACATAATAACGCTTTTTATTTGTCATGACAACTGTAGAGTTGCAGTAGTCTCTGAATAAGATCCTATAAAATTTGGTGGTTGAGCTCACTGACTCGTTTTCCAAATTTTCGTGGTTACACCATATATGTAAATTATTGTTCTACCATAGTTTTTTTTAAAAAAATTATTGTTTTACCATTTATAATTTATTAGGTTACGCTTATTCACTTCACATTTTATTATTATTATTATTATTATTATTATTATTATTATTATTATTATTATTATTATTATTATTATTATTATTATTATTATTATTATTATTATTATTATTATTATTATTATTATTATTATCGAGCTACAATAATTAATTTATTGAATTGAAATTATTTTTTTTAATGATATTAAGTTATTTTCCATAAAATTAATTTTTTTTAGTGATTAAAATTTATTTTTGTGGATTTATATACTATTATATTTAGTTTTTTATTTGAAATTTTGGATTTATAGTGATTAAACTCTATTTTTAATAATTATTTTTGCAAAATGTAAATTATTTTTGTTGAAATTAATCCATATTATTAACAAATAAGGTGAGGTGAACAAATTAAAAGTGTCTTATATGGTGAATTTTAATAAATAATCTATTGTGTTTCCAAACAATAAACATAATTAATAACTAATGTCATGATAACAAAATGTAGCATCAAATAATTAAGGGACCGTTTGGTATTGCTATGATTTTCTGTTTTTTAATTTTTTGTTTTTTGATTTTTTATTTATTTATTTTTTCAAAATCATACTACTCTGATATAATCGAAAATTGGTCAAACTTATTAATATTATGATAATTTTTAAATTGATAATAGAATAGTGAAAACATCTTATTCTTGTTTCCTGTTATTGGATTTTTTTTTTTTTTTTTTTGTATTAAAAAAAAAACTATGCCAAATAACAAGTATGAAAATTTAGATAGACTTCTTTTCACTTGAATTTCCCTTATCTTAATTATAATACTATAATACTTTTTTTTTCCTTGCAACACTTTTTCATTTCAAGTTTTGCTAATGCACCATTTCAATCATTGACAATATCTTTAAATCTTTAATCAACAATATGCAAAAGCTAAAAATTTCAATGTTAATCTACAAAATTCACCAAGAATTTGTTATATATAATCGGGTGCACGTATTGCCCAACTAATGCAAGGTTAGTTTTGATCTTCATTTGATTAAAAATTGAAAAAAATCATCAAAAACAGAATAATAAAAAACTCTTTGGTGTACGGTGTACTGGGGTGTATATAACAATCTCTCAAATTCACCTGTTTATAATTTCCTTAGCAACACTAAGGTAGTGATAGTAAATTATATTTGGCAAAAGCTAACGGGCGCTCCGTGGTGTTAGATAAGAAAACTAAAAGTGAAAATATTAGAATAAAGATGACATTAATACACCAAACGACCCGTGATTTTGTCGTGCATTCATAACTTAATACTATTTTAAGCAATATATTCATTAGTTATCTAATCCCTCAAGACGCTCGTTAGCAACATCCATTATATATAAGTTACAAGTAATAATTTATTCAACTTGAGCAATTTTTTTAATTTTTTTTTAAAGTTTGATCTTTTTATTTGAAATATATAAGTTTAAATTATATAAGTATTACTTTATGTCCTTATTCTCTTTTAATTTCCTTATCACACATGATCAAAATTTAACATTGTTTTACTAGATCATTAGACAAATTTCTATGTTTTAGTTTACTGAACGTTTAGGTAATAATAATAAATTTAGTAGGTCATAAACTAGTCAAATTTTATACTTATATATTTACGTCCTTCAAATTTTGTGTTGGTAATTGCTTGCAATTCCAACCTACGACGAATCAAATCTTTAGAGAAGGATAAAATTAAGAACATTACTGTTAAGTGTATACTGTCATGCTTGGAGAATAGGTAGAATACCTAAAACACTACAAAGAATAAGATCTGACAGTAGTTAAATTCTGACGAGAGGCCAAAGATACTAATTTACACAAGATTAAGATTCTGATTTTCCGATAAATAAAGACAAAATAAGAGGCTACTATAAGATTTGATGACCTACAACTACATCAATTTAAAGCATAACATAACATATACTAAGTCAAAATACCCTACATATGAATATGAATGGTTTTATTATGTTGTTTTCTCAAATAACAAATTGCAATCATACTAGATTTTGAGTAAAACCATAAAATCAATTCCATACCAACTTCAAGCACTCAAATGATGAATTAATATAACATGCATGCATGAAGTTCATGCATTAGAAGGTCAACGTAACTCGATCATATATTGCATGTAAGTACCACATGTTTAGATCAGCTAGTAAGGGAGATATTATTACTTAACTAGAAATCTCGATTTCAAGCCCTATGAAAGGTTAGATAGGGAGACAACATGCATGCATGAATGAAATGCATAGAAAGGTATGATCTAAGTAACTTGATTGCCTATTGTAAGATATGTAACCATCACATGCTTAGCTTGGGTCAATTGGCAATGGAGTTGTTACAGCTTAATTAGCTGTCTCGGATTCAAGCCCTACAAAAAGTTAGGAGATGACAACTAAAATTAAAATTAGTCGAAGTTTAGTAGAACAATTTAGGTATAAATAATATTTTTTTTATGCATGGTTATGTACAACTAACAGTACAAGTGGATATGATGTGAGTATGTAATGTTTCTTGCACAACAAATAAGCAGCATATGGTATAAAAGTGTAATGTTTAGGATTAGAATTAATTTAATTTGTCAGAATGAGTTAATATGTACCTCCAACTACACTAAAAATAAAATAATAAGGATAAAAAAAGAAGAAAAATCGAATAAAAAAAATTTAACGACAAGAAAAATATGCTATTGTCGGCTCAAGATTATGAAAATCCATGTGCAAAATTCAACAACAAAAGATTTTCGATCTATTAAAGGATTATTTGTTTTATAATTAGATTAAGGTGAAAAAGGGATCAATAAGAAGTTGTTGCTGACGTTTGTTTGGCGGCCTCGACCTCTAAAGATGTGACATGTATCAAGAACATGTCTCACCAAAAATATAAAATTATTTCATTTTAAAATCCAATGTTTAGTTTCCATATTTTAAACTTTGGATTAAGCATATAGATTTCATTGCATAATTGTTAGTTAGCTTGTTACTTGATCACCTGACAAGAATTGAACTAAATTAAAATTAATGATTGGAACGAATTGAAGAAACTTATTCGATTAAAACAAAATATAAATTTCGGACATTTTTTTTTTGACAACAGCAGAATACATTAAATTAAAGAAAAATGACGGAATATAGCTATAAATCACAACTTAAACTAATGGGACAAGTTAATGCTCATTTGTTATATCAAAACGAGTTTAAAGGTAAGGTTAATTCAATAGGGGTGAATTATTTGGGCGTATTTTTTATTAAAGAACTTTGATTACTGGTTTATCTTAGCATATATTGACAAGATTATTGAAAGAAAAGTAATATACTCCATAATAAGTTTTATCATAACAAAATGTGACAGCATTAATTTAATGAAAGTAGTTTGAGAGAAATTGCTGGTCAAAATAGGACCTCAAAATTCAAAAAGAATCATTTGCATTAAAATACACTGGGTGCTAAGTACTTGACTAACTAAAGGGAATTAAAATCATTGGTTCGTAAGCAGAAAATCTATCCCACATGTTCCTTTGTTTAGCATACACTAGATAATAAAATAATTGCATTTGTAATAAAACAAATGAAAAAGAATAACAAAAGCGCTTAAAAGTCATTGGTTAATGCAAAGGATATAATTGTGTTTAGCTCATTAAATTAATGATAATTCAACTTTGACTTGGGTCGGGAGCTTAAGTATAAACAAATATCCTTTTATTCCATTTTGTTTATTTGTCACATTTCCCTGTTTGCATTGAGTATCAATATCTCCAACTATGCATCTTGAATATAAATAATATCGAAGTAAATTTGTTATCAGTATTTTAATCTATTTATCGAGACAAATCAAATAAATTAAGGATATGTGTACATTAGGTCACAAATTCAAAACCCTTGAGTCCTCGTGGCTCATTCTCACAAAAATTAGAAAAAATAAATTCCCTTATTATCTAATTTTCTATTTTCAAATTGAAGATTCCAAATGAGACCTACAAAAAGAAACAAAGGGCAAGCGCGATACACGCGTGCACTTGTTAACTTTTGCCATTTATTTATTATAATGGAATGTCATTTAGTTATTTACGGTTACTATTTGCATGCGTGCACACACCTTAATAAATAATGTGAGAGTAATTAAGTAGGAAAGAAGTTGGTCTTTGTACTAGTATAGGGTAATTATTAACTAATCAAGATTGTACCGAAATGCATGTTATATCCATATCTTTGGATTCTTAGCCCTTCCTGAGTTAATTCTTGTTTGATTTTGTTAAATCTGTTTTAAATTCTAATTATCGTTAATTATCAATTATAAATGTCGTATGACTTTTAATTGATAAAATATAACGTCCTCTTTTTCCAAAAATACATATATAAAATTATCAACATCGTAAAATAAATAAATAAAGAAGTTAATTCAAAAGTCTAACATGGAATCAAACCTAGAGAAAATTGCCACAGTGAAACACCCAAGAAATTGTATGTGAAACTAGGACCATTGCTTCTACAGAAAGCTGACATTTGGCTAATCATAAA